GGAGGGCTGCAGAATGAAAAGGGGGTAGTGGCTTCAAAGCTGGCTGTAGCTCCCCCATAGGGATGAGACATAAATTGGGCTTCAACTTGCGGTGGAGCAACAGCAAAATCAGGAAGGTAATGCGTTTTGTTTTTTTTAAAACCACTGCACAGATCTATGCAGGACCAAGTGAACTGTGTCCCCTGGGGGGTTCAGGAAGGTTTTTTACCTTCCGATGATAATTCCTCTTTAAAACCATTGATAAAAGACCCGTTTACAGACATAAAGTTACGTATCAAACAACAGATTATTTCCTATGTGCCCTGGTAGTGACCTACGTTGTTCTGCACAAGACAACTACAGTATAGTGTGAACAGGACCTTATACTCACAAACACACTCAGGGTTATTCACTAAAGGGTGAAGAGTTTGGAGAAGTGAACAATCTAGGACAACATAGCTGAACTGGAACAAATTCTCTAATTTAGCTCCCTTTCCAGTTCAGCTATGTTGTCCTAGATTGTTCACTTCTCCTGCCTTCTCCAAACTCTTCACCCTTTTGTGAATTGCCCTGACAGTCTCTCCATTCATACTAATGATGCACTTATGACTACTTCTGTAAGCATTATGAAGATCTGCAACTAAGAGAGATAGGGTTTTCTTCTTGTTCTAATGAAATATCAAGCAAGGTAAATCTCTAAAAGCTTGCTGTTCACACTCCTGAACAGAAAATCACAAGTTAATAAGACTGTATACTCAGCCCCCCTCTAAGCACTTCAAGCCTCCTGCCTACATAAACAGTGCTCTCCATTTTGTATGGAATACCGTAACCAATGTATAAAGACGTGATTTATACACCGACACAAACATCTCTTCCTCCTTTTAAGAAAACATTTCCATTCACAATTTCCTACACAATGACAGTGAAGTGAATGCTGGAACCAATCATCTCTGTCATCTGTCAACTAAATGTATTTCGAGGAATGTCTTGAGATAAAAGCCAAATTCCTGGACTCTGCTCTGGTCATGAACGCTCCTGTGTCAGTAAAAGTGTACTAACATTTTCTAAATATCTTTAAATGTTTACCTAATACAACAATACAACGTGTCACTGTGTACCACATGCCTTTCTACAGTGTGATTAATCAGTACCTTATGTTTTTGTGTTTAGTTTAAACAGTGGCGAGATAGTAAACCAATGTTTCAATGCAATTAACCCATCAGTAGCTCCTGTCCCTGGACTGTAAACACAAAAATCAAGAAAACAGTCACTCTACATGTCTCTTGACTCAACCATTATCCCCAACTCTTCATAATTCAATTACCCAAACCCTAAAATTCTTTTTAATGCTTAAAAGAGAACTATGGGGTAAGTGTTTTTCCCCATAGTTCTCTTTAGGGTCACAGGAGGACATATACTACTATCCTCCCGTAACCAAAAGCTCAATATATCTCGGGCTATTGCCCGCAATATACTGTGAACGCCACAGCCAGGACGGATCCCGACAATACTGTCGAGATCCACCCAGCTGCATAAGTGACAGCTGGCTCTGCCTATCTTGGGTCAGAGCCAGCTGTACCCGCCCCCTCCCCCCGTTCGTTCCTCCACTCAGCGCTACAGGACCGGAGAGGGGGGAATCCCTGACAGTCACCGCTCACTGCAGGGAGATGATCGGGAAGTGAGCGGATCTGCGGCATGTTTCTGCTCACTTCCCGATCTATAGAGCCGACCTGTGACAGCTTCTTTGTCACACGTCCGCTCTAACTATGAGGATGAGTGGTAATCACTCATAGCTCTCCTTTAAGCCGTGTTCACACGGGTGGCAAGGAGGCGATAAAAGCAGCTGGTTGATCCACCGCATGGCAATGCTTGTAAACTGGGTGTCAACCACCCTCTAGAAAGTGATCCACCGCAGATCACTTTTCAGCGGGGCTGTGGAGCCTACCCCACATATGAACAGGGCCTTAAAGAGTTTGAGAGCACATTTTCTCTATGAAAAAGACAAATATGTATAGAGTATTTGAAGGGAAAAGAAGAGGACAACCAGCAATGAGGTGGATAGAGAAAAAGTTATTGAACAGACAGTTGCAAAAGCCTATGACCCAAACAAAGGAGTTGACATCAACCTGATGGCACTTAATTATATTTTTTTATGAACAAAAAATTATATTTTTTTATGAGAAAAAAAAGTGTAGATTGTATTTAGGCACATAAAAAGAAATATTGCATAATGCATGTAGTCTTTTCTGCAGCCAGCTGGAGGAGCTATAGTCATATTTTCACATGGTTAACTTTTTGAACTTCTGCTAAAAGTGGCTCCATCATTATATCAATCTATGAGTCAGAGGCTGACTGACTCTGCTGCAAAGTATCTTTAGCTAA